AATCAGGAGACTTGCATGTGGGCTGTTATCATTGTTAGTCCACCTGGGACTAACAATGGGCGCCCACCTGGGTGGTGTTTCCTGTAGTCCTTGAAAGTGGCTAGGGGAGATATCTGATTCCAGAGAAAGCCTTTCCCTGAGGCTGTTCTCCAAATACCTGGAATGTGTATGTCCAGAGAGTGATCAGTCTACACTGTTAGTCCTTCCTAGGGAAAAGTCAACTGGGAAAGCTATGAAGGCACACATGTTTTTCATAACAGAATACAGCTGATAATAACAAGCCAAGTAACACCAAAAACTCCTTGGGATTTGGCTTCCTCTGGAGGAATTCCCTGATGCCTCCAGGTAGTGACTTTGCCATAACCAGCTGAGTTCTTATGATATATTCCTGTGGCCCGCAGCAAGTCAGACATAACATCAGGCTCATAACTCATAGAAGGAATCTGACCAATGTATATAACTCTTACTCCAGTGCTTCCTCCAGGGACCTCTGGATGGATTGACACATACTCACCAGCAGCATTCTATGGGATAGGGTATCTATACTAGTCTTCCTAGCCAGAAAATTTGAAAAGATTCTGGGAGGATGACTTCATCATCCTTTAAGTCTTAGTATAAATGTCAGTCTGACTTGTTCCTCAATAGGATTTAAAGTGATCGAACTGGTATGTTTTGAGGATCTGAAATGAAGTGTGATTGGCTGGCAGAACTTTAGAGAATTGTTTAAGACGCTGATGCTGTGATGAAAGAAAAAGAAACAGTAAAAATGATCTTTCTAATTTCAAATATACTAACCTAAATGATGCTGAAAATGTATAATTTAGTTAAAAATTGAAGAAGAAAAAAATGTACTTCCTATTATTTCTTCAATTGGCCTGAAAATTTACTACTAGAGTGAATATTTTCAAATGAATACGTTATCACCATTTGACTTTATAGTCCTGAACTTTCTTGACCTGACAACTTGTAAATTTATAACTGGTAGCTTGTACCCTTTCTACAGTCTATCACTTTCTATAGATTCACCTCTGAAGCTTGTTTTCAATTTTTGTTAAGAAGTAACCCATTCTCAAGTTGATAGGCTTGTACTGAAATGGAAGGCCTGGAGGGTTGAAGCCATTTAATCCATCTTCCTTTTCTTAATAGGCAAACAAAGTGGCAAAGATATTGACCCACTTTTAATAAGACCAGTTTGCAATTTATTTTGCTTTTGGTCTAAGAAATACAAAACTCTCTGCTGGTGTGGAGTTCAGCATGACCAGGAAACAGAGCAGGTGAGTGGATGTCTGAGCTTCTTCAAACAGGCATTGGCTTAGAGGGAAGAGTACCCTTCCTCCACTCCACTACCAGGAGTGCCCTTCTACCTCTGGGAGTGCCCTCCCTCCCCCTTGCAACAACTGTGAGGGAAAGGACTGTAAGGATGGAGGACAGTAAATATCAAAAGCTTTCAAAATTATAGATTTTGATCCCAGAGTCCCTGGAGCTGATAGTCTTTTAAGTGTGTGTGTTGATAGGTAAATGTGCCTCATGGCTGGGATGTAGACATTGCAAGTGATCAGTTTCCAAAAACTCTTTTAACCCCTGAGAGATGAGTTCCAGGAAAAATATAAAAATAAGTCTTAGAAAAAGAATAAAGTACAAAACACAGTGAAATGTGATAGATGAGATGACAAGTTTGAGAGTCAGACAGCCTTGGGTCTGTCCCTGGTTCAAAGTCTCATTTTCCTTTTGTTTAGCTTTTATTATTTGAGAACTAAAGAAGGACATTTTACAGAATGACATAGACACAGCTTTTTTAATTCTCTAGGATATTATATTAGCTATTTTTGCCTATTATCTCTTACTAAAATTCCTGACAGAACATCTTAAAGGAGAAGTTTTGGGTTTTTGTTGTTTGTTTTGTTTTGTTTTTGGCTCATAGTCTTAAAGCATTCATCTATGATTGCTTAGTTCCATGCATTTGGATAGATCAGAAAGTTAACGGGAACATGAGAAGGAAAAGGCTTCTCACCTCTCAGTGGGGATGAAATAGAAGGAAAGGGAATACAGGCAGATGTCAGAGAAAGATATCACACAAAATAAAATCCCCCAGTGACCTAATTTCTTTCATCTGGGCCCCAATTCCTAAAGAGTCACAATCTCCCCCACAGCATCCCTAGCTGAAGTGAAATTGAGAAACACTTCATATTTAAGCCACAACAACTATAAATATTAAATATTGGTGGGAAATTATAGTCAAAGAAGCAGCAAAATACAACCAACTTCCTTAGACTTTTTATCCCCCAGAAGTACATTTATGATAGACCAATAGAGACTTTTAAGAGTTGCATTCTCATCAGTCAAGACCCACCATGATCAGTTTGAGCTGGAAGTAAATTGGGCTGACTGACAATGGAGCAAGCCGAGGAACTGCAGAAGAGCTAGGCAATACTGAACCTCTGCAGGAGGGAGGCAGCGTATGCTTTTGTATGTTTTGAGCAGTGGAAGGATTGTGAAAGATGTTGAAGGAAAGTAGAAATGAATGCAAAACTATCCTGGTCATCCTTCATAAATGTGCAGAAGTTGCACAATATCCCTTGAGTTGGTTTTAAACCTGTCATGATTGGTGTTTAATATGTGTCTTTCTACATTCCTCAGGATTACCTTGACAGTGGCAGTGCCTGGAAACAGGGGGTTGAATCTGCCCTACAGAATGGACTCAAGCAAGAAAGTCTGGCCCAGATTCCAGGCTATAACCCCACGGACAAAAGCTACAGCAACAGTGTTCAGGAGAAGACCACTCATTTCTAGAACAATACATGCAACTGATAATATATTCATACACACACACACACACACACATACACAGAGTACTCTATGCTACTTTTTCCTGTCATAGAATTGTGTACAGATTCTTTTCAGAAAACTAAGATGCCCAATACCTATTTATACTTATTTATAGAGATGACAAGACTGTTTCTCAGGATATTCTTTGGAAAGTCCCAAATTCATTTGAGAAAAATCAGCCAAGGCCCCAAGTGCCTGATGCTACATAACTAAGTCAGGACTGAGTTTAATCATAATGCAAGGAGTAAAACTCTTTTTGCTTCTTGTCAGGTTAAATCTCAGGGTTTGTTGTTTATTTGCAGGTTTATGTTTGGTTTTGGTGCTGAGAATTAAGCATAGGACCTTGTTCCTATAAAATGTCTGACTAAAATGTTGTGCCTGTCCAAAAACCATGTTCCACAGTATTACATCAGTATGTCAAAGGTGTTTTACTTAATAGAATTGCATTACAAAGGTGCTGTACAGAAATAGAACTAACGAGGTAAGCACAATAACAAATTAAAAATTATGTCCTGATTCCCAAACGCTAGGTTTTTTTTATGTTAGAGTATTCATAAAGCATTATTAAAAGTCTTACATTCCTACAAATCAGAAAGATCTCATCATAAAGATCCACAAGTTCATTACTGAAAACAAAATACCCTGTTGTGGTTTAATAAGCCTTACATTTGTAAATGCAAGCTTTGAGCCAACATCATAAGCAAAGTCAATAACAGCACACGGGAATTCTGCAAGGGTGAATCTTCAAACAGCAGTAGGAGAGTGGGATTTGCTTTTGTTTAATTCAAACAGCATTTTTTTTTTGGCGTAATTTTACACTTTGTGACTATCAGGGGTAACAAACGGTGTTTCAATAGGAAGATAGAAAGCCCTGTAGGCTGTGACACTTCCACACAGTATTTAAAAGTGAATATTGTTGAAATGTTTTGATGGCATTATAATTTTCTCAGAATATAAAAAAATAGATATGTCAGAAAAAATATGAGTTTTCCTTCACCTGTTCTCTTAGTAATAAATCATCTTAAAATATTACAGAAATTTTTACTGTGTCCATTTGTGTATTTACAGATTCTATGTGCTTATAATCTAAATATTGTAAAGTAGATTTAATGAGGATTTCACCACCTTGCCCAATATAAAAAACATAGTAACCTGAGCCATTTCAAACAACTGTAATTAGTTGGGTATCACCAAGGGTACCTATTGAAATACTAGAGCCTTCAAAATCAATTGTAACTTTTGATAGATAGGAAATCACTGTTGGGTTATTTTTATTTGTAGTTCTTGGGAAGACTGAATGCTACTATTAAAAACTCCTGAACAAATCAATAAAGATTTGCAAACATGCGAATAATGAATACTGAAAAATGTAGTTTTCCAATAGAATACTTTTGGTGTTTGAATTGTCAGAAATCTTCAGAATAGATTTACATGTACTAATATGTGGCTTAGTAGAAATATAACCATTACTGGGAGTTTCAGATTTTCATTGCAAATTAGAAAAGAAATACCTCACGTTACAGAAGAAAAATGTGCAATGATAATAGTACTGATTCTTATCAATAGGAAATTTAATGAGATGTTTTTGTATTTCTAAAATTTAACACTGTTTTGTATTCATGAATCCTGGGATACTTCTAAATTTGATGTCTTGTTTATATAACTATTTAATTTTAAAGAAAGTGGGGAATGATGTACAATTAAGATTATTTAAATTATTTCTTTTAAAAATAAATTCAGAATGAAAAATACGGAAATGACCTCTGGAATATTTCCTATGAGTAGGGTGCACGGTGGTCTACTACTTTGAAAACCTTTCTGTAAACTTTAGAGACTAAGATGGACCTATTAGCTAAGAAGTAAACAGATGTTATAATAAACTTCACCGTATTTTATAAAAGGCCATTCTTTTCAATGTTTTGGATAAAGTATGCAGTATTTGGTTTATCTGGGCCTTATGGTAGACACACAAACACAAATACACAGGATGAAAATGAGTCTCACCGGGCGGTGGTGGTGCATGCCTTTAATCCCAGCACTCAGGAGGCAGAGGCAGGTGGATATCTGTGAGTTCAAGGCCAGTCTGGGCTACCAAGTGAGTTCCAGGAAAGGTGCAAAGCGACACAGAGAAACCCTGTCTCGAAAAACCAAAAAAAAAAAAAAAGAAAGAAAAGAAAATGAGTCTCATTTGTTTTTAAGTGTTCAAACATGAAGTGAACTTGTTTGGTATCTGGATAGAAAAAAAGCAAGATATATTCACAATTGAAGGTAAAGGAGCACCTGCAGAGAAGACGAGCTTTTGTACCTAGGTCAGATATTCCCAAGTTGCCACCACCACCTCCAAATCATTACTTCCACTAATACTTTGCAACTGGATTTGTTTTCCTTTCTGGTCATTCAATCCCTTGTTGCTCATTTAGATAAATAGTGTAATATTTTTCACCAAGAAAAATAGTGTCTATTGATAATTCTTGCTTCAAAATATAGTGAATTTGGCCTAAGGTGTTTGGTAGCATTAGGTAAAATGGAGACTGTGAGACTTAGCATCATGTATGGCTGGCCATCCACACTACAATTACATTTCTGAGAAGTGTTCCAAATATATCTCTCATGTTTTCTTTTCAACTTGTAGTTTAGGAATTTTGCTTTGTCAAAAATAGAAAGTAAAGGTATTGCTTTCTACATCCAAATATTTAAGTTGGAAAAATGAATTAAAGAAATCAGAGCAGATAGGATCTAAAATTGTGCCTTGCCTTCTTACGGAAAGACAGAGAGAAGAGCTGATGTTGATTGTCCATTGTAACCCAGGGTTGCCACTTAGGGTCAAGAAATGCTAAAGCAACTTTATCAGGTTGCTTTAACAGCTCACCCATTACAAAACAGCTAGAAGATTTAGGAATCTACTAGGCTACTATTCTGTAATGGTAGACTTGGATGACACTAGATATTAGATTAGCCCCAACTAGGAGACATATTCAACAACCCACCTGCTTTCACTTTTGCTTTTTTAAAGGTCTACTAGGTATACTGTGGATGAAACAAGGATGGTCTTTAGGAAAAATCTATCAAATATAGTCACCAGGGTAATTTCCACTTAATCAAAGATGGCAAGTTTGATGGGAAGAAATTTATCACCTCTACAAAGATAAAAGTCCATAGTATTAGGAACTTGGCCTGATTAATAATTGAAGCTAAATCTCAATTAATCCTTCCTTTAGACTATGCATTGCTGGCACACTTCATTTTGAATAGAAATGCTTATAGGAAAACATTTAACTTTCCAAATGAAACCAGAATATTTGGTCTTCTCAAAATGTTCTCTTTGGAGCTCCAAGAATAGAAGCAGTAAGATAAGATGTTAACTGACTCTCTCTATAAAACCCAGAATGCTGTTTGGATGTCATTGAGTTAATCTAATTTGGGTACAATGGAGTACACATGTCTGATTACATTTTTTTTAAACTTTCTCCTAATTGACCAATTAAGCTATGCAGCTATATAGCTAAGTTATTCAATAAGCAGCACTAATTTTCAAGTTGAACCATCAAATCTAAAACCCAAAATGGGTAAGCTGGTGATTCTTGGCTGTAAGATAAGAGTCTCCTCCCTTGGTTTGCACTGCATTTATGTCTAATTTCCTGTCCTGTCCCAGGGAGATTGTGCTGGTTGTTTCAACATAGATTGTTAGAACAATGTTCAAATCCTCAGCTCCTTGGTTCACACCCATAAGCTGTTGTATCAGGGTTTTTATTGCTGTAAGGAGACACCATGATCATGCCAACTCTTATAAGGATAACATTTAATTGGGGTGGCTCACTTATAGTTCAGAGGGTCAATCCATTATCATCATGGCAAGGAGCATGGTGGCATGCAGGCAGACATGTTGCTGGAGCTGAGAGTATTACATCTTGCAGGCAACAGGAAGTCACCTGAGACACTGGGTGATATCCTAAGTGTAGGAAACCTCAAAGCCCATCCCCACAGTGACACACTTCCTCCATCAAGGCCATACCCACTTCAATGAAGCCACACCTCTTCGTAGTGCCACTCCCTATGAGATTATGGAGTCAAATCACATTCAAATGACCAGAGCTGTCTTGCAAATTCTGTGGTCTGAATAAGCAATGCTTCTCGTAGGTTTGTGTGTTTGAAAACTTAGTCCACAGTTGGTAGTGCGGTTTGAGGAGGTTATGGAATCTGTGGGAGGTGGAACCTTGCTGAATGAAGTACGTCACTGAGGATGGGCTTTGAGGGTTTATAGTCTCAACCCATTTCCTGTTCCTTCATTCTGCTTCCTGTGTATGGATGAAAAATATAATCAGCTAGCAGCTTGCTTGCTACTATGCCTTTGTTGACAAGGACTCTATCCCCATGGAACCATAGACTAAAAAAAAAGCCTTTTTTCCCTTAAAACAATATTATTCATTGTTTTATATATGATTGTTTTGCATGGATGTATGTTTGCATACTGCATGTGTGCCTCATGCTCTCAGAGACTGAATGAGGTCACTGGATCTCCTGGAACTGTAGTTACAGATGGTTGTACACCACCAAATGAGTGCTGGGAACCAAACTGTGGTCCTCTGCAAGAATATCAAGTGCTCTTATCTGCTGAGCCATCTCTTTAAACACACACACACACACACACACACACACACACACACACACACACACATATATATATATATATATATTTGGTTTTTCGAGACAGGGTTTCTCTGCGTAGTTTTGCGCCTTTCCTGGAGCTCACTTGGTAGGCCAGGCTGGCCTCGAACACACAGCGATCCGCCTGGCTCTGCCTCCCGAGTGCTGGGATTAAAGGCGTGCGCCACCACCGCCCGGCTTAAACCCATATTTTAAGGTTTATTTTTCCTAGGTGAATTTAACATGTGTGTATGCCTGTGTGTGTGGACCAGAAGTCAGTGTCTAGGATTTTCTATTGATTTCTACCTTATCTTTTAAAACAGGGTTTTTTCACTAAACTGGAGCTCACCAATTGGCCACATTGGCTGTCCCCTAGGATCCTCCTATTTCAGTCTCCCTAGAGTTGGGGTCACAGACATATTCCACCATGTTTGGCTTTTTATGTGAGTATTGGTGATGCAGACATAGGTCACCAAGCTTGCACAACAGACACTTGACCCATTTTACCCAGTACTGCAAATGACTTTAAGATGAGAGCATTATCAGGAGATAGTTTGAAAGTGGTGAGTTTCCCCAAGAATAACAAAACTATTGCTTTCAGGGACTAAAGAATGTGCAATCTTTCCAGCCCATACCCATTCGACAAATTCCAATTAAATTATTTAACGAACAAACAGAGCCAGGCGGTGGTGGTGCACGCCTTTAATCCCAGCACTCGGGAGGCAGAGGCAGGTGGATCTCTGTGAGTTGGAGGCCAGCCTGGTCTACAGAGCAAGATCCAGGAAAGGCACAAAGCTACACAGAGAAACCCTGTCTCGATAAAAGCAAAAAACAAACAAACAAAAAACAAAAACAAAACAAAACAAAATAACCCCAAACAGAAAGAACTGTAATGTGCAGATTATAGTAAAAATGATAATTTATTGAGTGAAAAAAATCTTCTATCCATTCCATTGTATAGTATATTGTGCCAAGAATCATTTAGCATTCAAGTTGAATCTCATCATGCAGCCAGGCAGCAGTGTCTCACCGAAAAGTGCCTACACAGACTCAGACCAGACGACTGAGAACTATTACAGTTAAGACTTAAAATGGTTCACACAACTTGTCATGGCAGACTGCATGCACATATCCATTAATTATTAGCATAAAAAGATAACAAGTGAGAATATGAAAATATATGAGCAGCATTCACATCATACAGAATTCCTGAGAATATAGTGTGCTATAAATCTTTGAGAAATAATTCATATTCATATGAAAAACACATATAAAACATTTCTCTCAACTTAAGCAGAGTGACCCTCTAAAGTTCACATACTGTGAGGGCTGTCTGTGTTTTACCGTCAGTTATGATAAAACCAAGTTTGATTGTCTTGCAACTGCTTACAAAACAAATATTTCAGACAATTATTTTTGGTTCTTTCTTTCTCATCTCTGTTTCAAAAATATCAGCAACACATTTCTAAATTAATATACTACAACTTTTATTAAAATATCTTTCTTTGTTCATATCAATCAATATGACTTAAACCCCAATGGACTATAGAAAACCCTAGAAAAAGAATTCTCAAAGAAACATCTATTATTGTTTGTCCTCCATATGACCCATGTATGTCTTGCATCCCTAATTTGGAAAATATGTAAATGCTAGGTAAAGAAAATATTATGCTCAGGCATGTGTATACATTTAGTTAATAAAGAAAAGGGAGCAAAAATGCTCCAAAATTGAGGAGCTGAAATCTCTATTGGATAATTTGTGGAATTAGCCATTATATTTGAAGTAAAAGAATCCCAGGAACAAGGATTTCTGTAGGAATTTACCACATATCTCATATGTATATATGTATGTATGTATTATGTATGTATATATTATGTATGTATTATGTATATATGTATGTATTTAGTGGTGCTCAGAGTTGAGTCCATGTGTGCCTCATGCATGTTAGACACACACTACCACTGAGCTACATTTTCAGAACTTGTGGAAGAATTTAGAGTCCCAGGGCATATACCTGGCCCAGAATCACAAGGAAAGTAGACAAGTGAATATCCTAGGGAGAAACTATAAAACAACCATAATCAAGTCAACAAAGCTTTTTGTAAGTGTTAGAATTAGCACAGCACACTTCCAGTAAGTGAAACTAATTTCCTTGATTAGTTTTAGAGATTCATTCATATGTGTGCAAAGTAGTTTCGTTTTTGTGTGTGCCTAATCCAATATTTTAAATTTTGTAAATATTTCTGTTTTGCTTAATTGAACAAAAGCAAACTGAACAATTCATGCTCTCTTTCTGTGTGTGTGTGTATGTGTGTGTTCTCTGTGTAATTTCCCACCTTATTCTCAAGGGAAAAAAGCTTGGCCCATCTTGTTTTGCAAGGGAAGGGGTATTGATTTTTACCATATAACCATATATTTCACCCCTTGCCTTTCATTCTATTCTGCCTCCTTAATTTATGCCTTCTCTGAACTTTCTTGAATTGAACACCCCTTCATTTGTGCTCCTCCAGTGTGTGGACAAAATTGACATTCAAATAAGGAGTCCACAACAAATGAAATTATGATCTTCATAATTAATTTGACTTTGTTTCTAGAGAGTTTTGAAATTAAATAAAAATCAACTCATCAGAAACAAAACAGAACAAATCAAAACCAAGAAATCTCCATTCCATGATTAAAGAATGAAACTCAGAAAGGTATTTTATGCAAATAATACACTCTGTGCATGCATTATTCCATTAGCTCATAATTGATAGTGCATATTATAGAAAAAGCTTAAGTGCTGCAGAACATTTGGCTTTGGATTTCCTGAATGAACAGAGAAATTACAGTAGCATCCTGTGTAACTAGTCATAGAGTTCCATAAGCCAGAACTCACATTACACAGTGTAAAAAGTGCAAACAGTGAAAGAACATCGACATATTTACATTGTTTCAACATAGTGTTCTGTGAGATTGTAATAATTCAGAGAGGAGCACATGGAATAGAATATAAGATAGGCTTCTTCAGTAAAGTACAAATTAGTCATGTCTACATGATACAAGAATAGGCATTCATATATTTAAAGTGGATCTGTGGCATTCATTAATTTAAAAATGGGTAGTGCACTTGGCTTTGAGTGATAAAGCAAACTTAAATCACAGCCAATATAATAGAATTATTCCAAGGTGTTCTTTTTGGAATTTAGATTTTGGTTTCAATACTATGGTAATGTGCAACTTTTCAAGTGCATAGTCGACATAAAGCAGCATAAATGCCATGTGCATACACCCATTATCTCAATGAGACAAAAACAACTCCACCAGCCTGTAAATGGAAGGGACATGGAGTTCTGACATCAGAGCCAACAACTGGTGTAACTCATTTCTTGTGAATATCTGAACTCAACTGCAAGTCCTAGAATCTGATTAGTATTCCCAGCATGTGAACATTTACGTGGAAATCTGTCTTTGGAAATTCCATCACTGCATTTCCTACTTGCTCTGCTGCTGATGGAACTGGATGGACTCCAAACACAGAACTCCCCTGAGGGCTTGCTCTGAGAATCCGAGCCTGACTCCCTGCCATGTCAGTTGCATCCCTTTGGAGGTCACAAGTCTTTTCTTTCCTCAGAAGTCTGAGCATTCCAATCCCAAAGGCTGCTGTGATGTATTTCCAAGTAACATTTTATACATATGGTTTTGCCAACTATGCTTTCCTGTTGGATCCCACCTACATTTCAAGGGCCTCATTCCTTCACACTAACGGTACCTCCCCTTTTGGTTAACAGGCACTGCCTAAGGCCATTCATGGTGAATAGGCTGACCACTTTTTCTCCTCTGTTGCTGTAAATGCTCCAGTTCAGCCTCATACATCATTTCTTGGACTAAGTATTTCTCTCGTCGTATGCGCTCACGGAGGCCCTTTGGTATATCTGGAATCAGGTATGCAATGAATGACTTAATCCCAAACACCAGGTGCTGTAAGTTAAGAGGAAAAATTATGTTTTCAAAGGTTCCAGAACACTCATTGTAAAACAGAAAAGTCATGAACAATGATGCATTTGCCTTAAAATTGAGCATCAGAACTTAATGTGTAGCATTTAGAATGTTGATTTCAAGAGTTATATGGAGAACACAAATATTACTGTCACTGTAATGTATCAGTTAGATAACGAAATGTTTCCTCTTTTTAATGCTGTTTAATGATATCACTTCATAAAAAAGTATTTTAAATTCTTGTGTTCAAAATTCTTACATACTGTGCAATATTACTATAATACCCATTAACAGACACAAATATGAATGGCTATTCTCGGGAAAATGTCTTTTCAATAGACAGAAATACATGCTACATAACCTGTGAGCTAGTTATTAGACTCAATCACAACCAATTTATTTTTCATAAATTCCATTCTGTAAGTTCACTGTCACTATAACTACTATGAAACATTTGAGCTGTGTTACATAATTTTGGTAAAATATGTATTATTCATGTTTTAAAATTAAATTGTCAAAAATGGAGGTTTGCTATTTTTTGTTTGTTTGTTTTGAGAATTAATATATTGCTATATATTCCTGGTCAGCCTGGCCTAGAACTTTCTTTGTGAACCAATTGATAGAAATCCACCTGTTTCTGTCTTGCATGTGATGGGATTAAAGATGTGCACCATCACACCCAGTTTACTGATAGACTTGAACAAGTAAGAATGTAACTCAAAAGACATTATACCTCTAAGTAAAAGCTTGGAATTTGAATGAGACCAATTAAGCCTTTATCCTACTAACAGCTGTTTATCCTTGAGCAACTCATCTATGTTCTGTGTCTATGATAGTGATGACAATGCTACCTCTTAAAGGAAATAAGTAAACACACACTTACAGAGGCTCAGAGAGTGGTTGGCACAGTGGGAACCCTGCTCAAATGGTATTTCCTACTCATATCCTATGAGAATGGTAGGTCTTTCTGTTTCTCAGAAAAGAGAGAGAACAATGTGGTATTTGTGGGGTTAGCATGGCCCGTTAAAACAATACTTTTATGTAAAGGGCTTTTAGTGGACAATAACCTCTTCATGAGAAAAGGAAGAATTCATTGTACGTTTAGTTGTACTTGTTTATGAGTCCCAAGAAAATGCACTGAAAAGTAGATAGCAATAAAGCAGTTCATATTTTCCCACACACAATCAGGACTTTCTTTCCTGATCATTTAAATATAAGATTCAGGAAGAAAGAGAGGGGGATCTGTGGTTGGTATTTAAAATGAATAAAATAATTCCTTAATAAAAAAAACCTAATAATGTTCCTCAAAATTGTTGGAGTACAAATAAAATATTGCCATGATTTACTAAAGTCTAATCTACAACAATAAATACTTCACTGTATTTTAAGATTACAGTTCATGTTTAGCAGATGTGTTCTAAACACAAGCAGGTGCTCATTGACAGTTCCTTCTAGATCTGAAGTAAAATAAGTAAAAGATTATTTAAAAAAGCTTTAAGATACAAAATAATTGAAGTTATTTGGAAAATAGGATATCCAAAATAATACTATATTTTTATACACAGACAAGCAACCATACTTAAAAATTAACAAGTGTAAGGGCTTCATAGAGGTTGATTAGGGGTTATGGGATCCGTAATGAGGAATGAAGAAAGAAAAATAAAGAGGGTCTCTCTCACACAGACCCATGAGTGGTATCTGAATTGTGTCTGATTAACTTTATTCACTTGACTTCTGAGGAATATAAAAAATATGTACATTTTAAAACTAGATAATAAATATCTCATTGAAATATTGTGTTGAAAATATGAGTTGAACTGTTTATACTACCTGCAATGAAGTAGAAAGTCTCATTCAGTAAAGATATATTTTTATTGACTCTGAAAGTCATTAAATCAGAGAATTTTAGTCCTGGCTAAGACCTTTAGAGGCAAACATTTCATTTTCAGATATTCCATTACAAACTTTTAATTTATATTTGGAAATCACTTGCAATGAATAATTGTCTTTAAAAAGGGGGTTTTCAACATTTAGTAGGTAGAATGTTTGCCTAGTATTCACAAAGCCTGGGTTCTACCCCAGGTTCATAGGAACCAGGTGTGGTGGTTCATGCCTGTAATTCTGGTGCTTCCGAGGCACAGACAGGAGGATTAGGAGTTTGAGATCAAACCTGGCCAAATAGTGAATTTGAAACCAGTTTGGCATACATGAGAAGGTTATTCAAATAATAAACAAACAAACAAAAACAAAACCTTTTGTGTTCCAAAAATTTTAGACATGGCTTTTATTTCTTTTGTACTGCAAGCCACAATAACATGAGATAGGAATTCAGCTGATTATGACAAGCTAATACCTGGAAGAATCCAAGGGCCTTCCAGAGGTCAAGGAGTCTTGTTGATATTGACTTTTGATTATTAGCCATTTCCTGCTATGAATTTCTCCTGTGCTGTTGTAGCTTTTCCATCATTCGCTGGGCACGGTTTGGTTTCCCCTCTACTAATGGAATATTTAGATAACCTTCTATGCAGTAACACAACCAGGATCCCTAATTTCAGGCCTTTCTGTAATTATCATCATTAGCAGCATCTGATCAGGATTATCCCTGATACTGACGGAAGTATCTTATCAGAGATACCTCTGTACTCTCTAAGAACAAACTTAAACATCCGGACTATCTGTTTGAGAAGGCCTGTTGGATGTGCTAATTAAGCTTAACTTTCTCCCTTTCCAAAGTCTTATCTCTAGTTTTAGATCTACCTCTGACTATTAACTCAGAACTAAAGAGTTTCTACATACTGGTACATCAGTCTGAATCAGGCTGCCCAGTACACTCCCCAGCCTAGCTAGAAAGCAGTAGCCAAGATAGCTTGGACATATAAAGGGTCAAAGGAAAAGAAGGCAGTTTTATTTTCACTCATCACTGATAGACTCCTACTACTTTACCTAACCACTTCCAAAAATACAGTTGAGTACATAAAACACCCCTTGCTCCCATATTAACAGAATTTAGCCCTCAATTGATTCTATTCCCCATTAACCACTTCCCTTTTGGATTGCAGATGATGGCTGGCAATTACTGCTCTTTTGTGTAGATCTTATTGACACTCCTTTTGACCCTGAGGGAATTCAAGCCTGGTGACCTCATTTTAACCAGTGCATTGTTATTGTATGGGTATATAACTGTAAACCTCAGAGACTTGGGAGAATGAGACTGAGAAGAGAAAAGAGAATAGCAGAACTAGATGGGTAAGAATGGGAGAGAAACAAACTGAGATGGGGAAGAACTACATTGAAGGACTAGAAGAGAGTACTAGAGGAACAAGAAAGAAGTCAAGGAAGAGCCAGATGGGGAAAAACAAGATGAGAAAGAAGGAGATGGGAGAAGAGCTGAGATGGCAAAGAAGTAGATAGATGAGAACCTAGATGGGGCAGAACTAAGATGAGAGAATTAAGATAGAACTTAGATGGGACAGCAGATAAATGTAGGAGAAATCAAGCAAGAAAGGAACTAGGCATGAGAGAAGAACTGAAGCTGTGTAGATAGGATTTTATCCCAGAGGAATAAAGTAGATGGACAAAAGAGCTCAATGTACTTAGATTCTTTTCCTGAAAATAATTCATGCCATCGTTCGTAGCTTCTCTTCTGGGCCCCTGGTAAGAAAACTGTTAAGGCTGGACCATGATAAGTTTTGTGAGTTTTGGTCATAGAAAACATCGAAAATTGTTCATTAACTCAGTGGTAACTCAGAGAAGTTGTTTAATACATCTAAGTGCTAAATTCTTCACTGTATCATGATTTATGAAACAAGATGATAATGCTGTATGCAGTTCTCTCAAAATTGCCTCACAGGATTACAGTTTAATACTATCATGTCTGTGATAATCAAACTCCAATCATTTTAAGTAAAAGTTTTGGGCAAAATATGGAATCACCCATTTTTAAAGACAAATATATGCATGATTGACTATATTTTGAGTTAATTATTCAGAAATATCGAATTTTCTATCCTCGTGGGTAGATTTGGATTAATTTATCAGCTCATGAAAACTATCCCTTTCTTTTTAAGTGTCACCACTAGGAACTTGAAACTAGGAGCCTCACAATTTTTATGAGATAGTATCTTTCTTTCTGATTTTCTTGTATCAATACCTATTAACTTGTGGTTACATTATTCAGCTCAGGCTCATTATTTTTTATGTTCCTTATAATTAATTTACCATATCCAAGCCTTTTACCAGGCCTACCAAAGTCCTTTCTTAGAAGTCAGTAAAGAATTGACATCAAACTGACATATCAATCAGCAAGGCAGTTATTCACAGTTACCTCTCCCGTGACTAACCTCAAACACAATAATGAAGGCCAGTCGAGCAGCGAGAATGTGCCAGTACTGTAACGTGAACTCATAGGGTTTGGAACTCCAAGGCGGGCCTCTATAGTCTCGGTACCTGCAAGCCACAAAAACAGAAAGCATGAAAGATAGCAAAATGTTCATGATTACCCAAGTCCAAAGTGGTAGTTTAAATGAGCTGTTTTACATGTAGAAGGGAGGAGATGGCATGGCAAAAAAGCAAGCAGGAAAGATAAATACATTCTAGGTAAATACCTGCAGTAACCAGATTTTCCCATTCCAAGTTCACTCAGGTCAAAGAAGGATAGGCTATTGTTGACATATCCTTTTAGGCAACTAGGAAAAATGACAGGACTAAATGAGGCAAAAATTAATACATTTCTTAAATGATTTCTTCTTTCCAAGTGACAGAATTTAATAAATGCCATTATTCCCTCTATTTTAAGTATTCAGCTTTCTTATTTCTGTTTCATGTCTTCTTGTCCTGTCATTTCTTCTCAATATTTTCCCCATTGCTTTTTTTATTTAGTTTACTTTTTAAAAGTGGTTTCTGTCCATGAGTCATCCTGCTACTTGTGCATTTAAAGTCGGTAAATCTTTTGTAAACACACATGCATGCAACATAATTGGCTAATTATAAGTAATATTTATTATCTATTTACTTATTCAATATGTTTATTGTGCATCTATATTTTGTTACAAAAATTCTCAGTGCTTGATACTCAACTATGAGCAAAACAGGTATTTACACACAGTGATGTTGCTTTTATCCATCAAGAAAGATGGTTATTAGACAGGTGTGGTAGTGCATAATTTAATTCCAGAATTCAGGAGGCAGAGGCAGTCTGGTCTCTGAGTTCAAGACTAACTTGGTCTACAGATCAAGTTCCAGAATATGCAGAATGACACAGAAAAACCCTGTCTCAAAACAAAACAAAACAAAAACAAGAAAAAGAAAGAAAGAAAGAAAGAAAGAAAGAAAGAAAGAAAGAAAGAAAGAAAGAAAGAAGGTTGTGTAGTTTGTAGGAAAAATGGCTGCAAATGAAAATAATCATATTGAGTGACAGTCTGTGCCAGAAAAACAATGGTTACATATTTTCTCTCATGTGTGTTTCCTAGATTTTAGACAGACACTTAAAATTACGTATGCAACTATGACATAACAGCAGAAGTCAAACAGTCTAGATATACAATGGGGAATATTGAGAGGGGAGCTAGTGTATGTGGCCATGAAGGGAATACACTTTAAGTATGCAGCATACATCTATTAAAAAGTTCTTACATCACCCAATGCCATGTACATTGAATATAGATAATAAAAATAATTAAATGTGTCAGGTGATTTTTTTAACTTTACATATTAAAAGAGTAGATACTAAATTCCAGAGTCTGAAAAACAGTCTAGTCATTATTATTTCTTCTTGGGACTGACTTTTCTCTTGCAATTCCAACAATTACAGAGTGCTTAGTAGCACTCTGTATGGCAAAGTGTGACATTTTTTACAGAGAAGATTGAAAGTTGCAGATTTTGTAAAATTAATAATTATTAATATTTCATGAAGGACACTTTGCTTTTCTCATTGGAATTTTCAAGGTGGTTACATGATGGTTGAGAATATTAGTAACTTGGTGCCAATATTCTGAGTTAGGCAAATTCATATGGGACTGTAGCCACCATTGTTGATGCACCATCAATCTAAATGTAAAAAGTTGAAGGTGGAAAAAAAAGTCTTAGTGTTACTGTGAACATAGTGTTAATGTGGGCTGATAGATGGCTTAGGAGGTTAAGGTACTTGTCACCAAGCCTGAGGACCTGAGTTCTATCCCATATGTTGGAAGGGAAATACCCCAATGCGTCTTTTAACTTTCACAATGCTCCCTCATACACACAATGCACCAATAAATAATATATAATAATATTGTGATATAATAGTAATGTTATAAATAATATAATAATTTCAAAACTGTGTTTAAATCATAGACCCTAAGGGATGTTTGCAGACCACATGTTGAGAAATACTCTTCTAAGAAAAATGGTTTTTAAAATCTGGATCCAAGGACGTGTCTATTACATTCTTACCTTTAAAATATTAGTCACAATGCAACAATGGCAACTGTATGCCATGTCCGTTCTCTGTCTTGTAGCATTAGTCAAGTGTTTTCTTGTCGGTATATCCCCTCCACTACTGTCTGTCTCTTCAGGGCTTGCTCTGAAAATTTCTAACCTGGACAGATTTTTTTTCAATTTCATTGCTAAGTATTCTTAGAAGATTATAAAGTAATTGAGTATTCCTCTTGATATATGATGTCCAAATCACAGAAGAACTGCATAGTTTTGCCTGAAAATTGATCTGCAGCTGAAATTGGTCACTGAATATGGAGATGTCAGGTGCTGTCCACAGCAAAGACAGGTTCTGCAATGTAAACTCAGCCAGTAGAATTTTCAACCACCACTAGGTGGCAATAGAATTACTAGCTATTAATTTGTGTAAGAAAGTCACCAGAGAGCAATTCTACATATTTCACACTTGATCTTAGCCAAAAGTTTGAGAAATGATTGACTTATACTTTTCAAATTCTTAAAATCTGCTCCTAGATCATTTTGCATTAATAAAAAGGCAGCATTTTGGCTTTTCAGTATCGGTATTGAAACAACCTTATATTTACACTGTGTGCATTCACAGACACCATTTCATAATCATACAGCCTATGAACACTTACTATTATGAATCAACCATGTCACACAGATGATGTATATCTTAACAAATGACAAAGTTAGAATTCAAATTTAAGGTGTCTAATATTGAATCCCTTTAAATCTCTTAAGGATTCTAAGACTTGTTTAAAAAAATCAATTGTACAATGCTTCTATCACTACTCCTCTTAAAAAGAAGGGACACTTGTGTTCAAGGGCTTTTCCAGTGTTCTAGAGAAACACCAGTTAGCCAGTAGTTCATTAAGGGTCAATGTCACCCTAAAGCAAAGCTCCACCTGTTGTGGCCCATGATTTCTATCCATACCTATTGTTGCTCTCACTCTTCTACATTTTCTTACAGATTTTACATCTAAGGTGGATATTCGCCTACAAAGTCATTCAAGGTGCCCCAGTTCTCTATAGTCAGTTCTCACATAAATTGTCCCCTAATACCTTATGCAAAGGAAAAATGTGAGGTAACAAATATTGCCTAAAGTGGTTGTCTATATCCAGCTATTTTGCCTCCCAGGGGACAGCAGGCAAAGTCTAGAGATACCTATTGTTATCAGAATGTATGGATTAAGACAGTTGTCACTATATCAACTGGTTAGAGACCACACATGCTGCTAAGCATCATACAGTGAGCCAAACAGCCCCCTTCCTAACTTGAAAGAACCGTTTGAATTAAAATGTCAATAACCAAACCAAACCAAACAAAAAGTACTGTAGAAGGCGATTCTGCTTCAGTCAGACCCCTGGCTCTATGTGCTTCCTGAAAATGTCTAGGCACTAAGATGGCCGACTTTGCAGGTTCTGTTTCTCACTTTTTACTGTCTTTGTTCCATTTTTTATGAGCTTCACTTTCCCATCTGCATAGCAACAACTCTGAATTGCCTGGTTTGAAGATGCTGAAGAGTCTATTCAGGCTTTAGAACTGGCTCTTTCGAGAAGAATTAGACTGTTCTTAGCATTTTGACACATTTTCAAATAAAAACAGACTCTAAAATAAGTTGCTATAGAAAGCATGTTCTGTTCTCAGTTCCATTTGCTTTTATCTAATAAACACATTATAAATACAATGACCAGAAACATTACTTTTTAATGGGCACAGAACAAAACTTCCCAGTAAGCTGTCCTTTTAATTGCAACTATGAAATAGATTAGAAAAATATGTAAATTTTAACCTTACTTCTCATTCTGCTTTACATGATTTGCACAAGGGCCATATTTGTATTCGTAGACAAAACGTGGGATGTAGTCAGATGTAATAGCAATTACAAATGCATTGGTGATCACAGCCAGTATGCCAATTCCCTCAAGAATTCCAAGCCAGATACCTGGTTGGAGAAAGAATAAAGCTAGTGAATAAAAGCAAACAAGATGAAAGCATTCTGATTTATTTAATTTTGGCAATAATATTCTGTTTATTTTGAGCCACATTCTGTTCACCATTTACATTTTTTTTAATAAAAAAGGGTTATATTGTATTATTTATTGTGTGTGTGCTCATGCACTTGGGTCCCTACAGAGAGCAGAAGAGAGCATCAGATTGTTTTGTAAATCCCTCAATAATCTTCATGATGAAAACTGAACTCTGGACCTTGGGAGCAGCAACAATTGCTCTTAACAGATGAGCCATCTCTTCAGCCCCTTGCTGCTTTTTTTTTTAAACTACAGTCCACATACCCCAGATACTAGAGATGTTGCATATACTATTTCAAAAAAGGGAAAATTGAGTCTTACCTATGTCAGTTGCTCGAGCTGGCAGAGGCCTCCTCCACTGGGTCACAAATTTATATGCATCCAATCTTATTTCTATGATATTGTTTAACAAAGCCAAAAGAGGGGCCAGAGGAAAAGCAGCAACAAAGATGGTAGTAAAACCAAATTGCAAAACTATAAGACAGGAACATTAGGGAGTTATGAATTACATAATAAAATCTACTGAGTGCCTCTCTGCACCAATTACGAGCATTAGATGAATTACCTTTAATGATACCTCTACTCAGTAAACACTCTTATTTTTACAGTTGAAGAAACGTTTGATCCTATGTGATAAGTAAACTTGTTAAAGAGTAGATGGGTAGAAAATGTTAAAAATCTGTACTCCATCACAGATATGGGTATATTTAACGTCTACTTTCTCTCCCACTCCCCATATAATATGAGGAGGATAGGAAAATGGAGAAGGAGATAAAGGAAGAAAAAGGTGAGGAGGAAGAAAAAGCTATCAATAAGACAAGCAAAGAGGAACACTTCCCTTAAGGCTCTGGCAGGGACCCCAAAGCTCTCTACTCCACTACCCTATCTTCTCTTTTTATAGATGTGGATACTGAAGGTCAGGAAATAAGTCAACAACTGGACTGGGAAGCCATATTTTCTTAGTATAAATTAAGGACATTCCTGCAGAAACTCAGACTGGGTTTGAGAGTGTGGAGAGGACGGATATGGGAGGAGTGTGGGGAAGAGGGGTAAATATGGGACAAATATAATGTATCAAAATACTAAAGAATTAATAAACATATTATTAAAAAATAACCATGAATTTCTTTGAGGAGGATACTATTTTTCTTTATAAAGAGTTGATCCAGCTTTGTTATTTTTCATCAAAATATTTGCTCAGTAGCCTGCTGTGGTGATGCATGCCTATAATCCTCACACTTCTGACTTTGTTTGGATAAAATTCACTTGCATTTCAGAATGATCAGTGTGAAAAAAGAGTACTGTCATTACTGCTGTTTTCCTCTTAAACCAAAGCTCATATTAACTAGAAAAAGCAATATCAACAGAGCCAAATGGTCCTGCAGAAAAGCCTCTCCTTACCCATTTCTAAGTACTCGTCCATCAGTCCATGAATGTTCATGGGCTGAAGATTCCAGTCATTTTCCCATTGTGGTATGGAAGCATCCTGTATTCCACGCTTGATTTTATGTCGTGACCACCAGTTTTGGATTAACCTGTATCAGAGAGCAGACCAAGGCTATGTAACCTGTTACTGAACCATCTGTGGAAATGTGTATTTTACTAAGAAACAACAAATTTCAACTAATCTTTTTGTTGTATCAAGTATTTTTGGAAGTGAAGACAGTCAGTGGTTTTAACTTTTCAATAAGTGAAAAAAAAAGTAAGTCTGAACTTTAAAAAGTTTAAAATCTTTAAATTATAAAGTTAAAAAAAATAGTGAAAGTTACTAGATTCTATCGTCCTGGAACTCTCTAAGGTCCTCCAAACATCTAGATATTTATTAGGAATTCAATGCCATTAAACTGAACCATTCCTTGATACTGACTCGGCTAAATTCATTTCTCCTACCTCCACCTATAAAAACTCCTACGTTGCCTGTTGTCTTTAGCTCTGTGCCTTTCATTGCTCATACTCCATCAGTGTGTGGGTTGTACATGTGGATGTGAATAAAATTACGTTCTGCATGAAACAGTAGGCCTACATAAACTTTCAAGAGTCCTAGGCTCTGGTCCATCTTGTCTTGCATTGCATGTGGGATATTTGTTCAATTAACATTTTTCAGTTTATAAACATGAAAAGTTTGAACACTAATGCCAACACTCTGCTACTATCATTAACGGAAGTTGTCAGGCAATGGATATGCTTACATTCCAGTCTGTGGTCTGGAAAATAAGTGAAAATACTCTATCTCTGGCCTGGGAATGGTCATGACACTATGATGTCTAGAGATAGCCTGGTGTGCACTGTGAGCGGCTTTTGTATGATGAATTACATAAGACTTTGAAAGATACTCTAGGATGACATATTTTTTCACAATTCAGTGAATAACACTTAAGGCTCAATTTTAAGTAACTGGAAATTCAGAATCTGTTTGAAGACAGAGTGCTCTGGTCAACATCCCATGGAGGTCGCCCTTGGAATCTCACAAAGATGTGAAAAGGGAGGTAGGTTAGAATTGACACAGCTCTGCTTGTTTAAATTTTATCTGTATTGTTTTTGCTTACGGTTTTAATTGAATGGAAAATTGTGGTTTAAAATTTGAAAACCACTGCTTTGGTGATCCATTCAGTCCTGCTAAGTATTCACCTACAAGGCCTTTCCTAAGTGTTTGAAAAACAAACATGGAATGAGTATCTCTTGCTATTTTCCCTCAGTATTTGACATGCGTGATCCAGGCTTACCATCTGACTCAGGGCATGGTTAAAATGAGTATCGGACATAAACAATGCACACAGCAGACCACATGTGGTGGTGGTGCGAAGAACCCTTCTCTGTTCTACAAGGGCCGCAATTCCACCCTGCTGGAACTTATGAAGTGCTCATGGCAGATCCAATCCTATGCCCCACACTTGATGCCTAATTTCCTCAGTTGTGCTTATGTACTTCCCATCCCATACATTTTAAAGTGATAAGCAAAGGAGAGGAAGGGACGTAGCAAGTGCACGAGGAACTCTAACCCTTTATTCAGGCTTCATGTAGAAGAGATTTCATGGAATCTGTTATATAACCTATACATACATTATATCCAAATACATTACATACACATTTGTATATAATATACACTCTTCCAAAGTGTTTTCTTATCTAAAATTTAAATTCTATTGGGTCATTTCATTTAGTCTTTCTCTTGTTTTACAAGTGAAAGAAAAATCTCAGAGAGATGACACAAACTCTGATCAAAATTAGTAAGAAACAGAGAAGGAATTCAAATCAGGAGTAGATAGTTCTGAATCCATGCTCTAAATCTCCCCATAGTTTACCAATACCCAGTATGCTGCTGTGTTAATTTCTCCACCACTAGGTTGGTGGCTCAAGAATGTCATTTATAGGAAGACATAAAAAAGAATGAAAGTAGAATTTGATGAGTAAACTTGCTTTATATCATTAATCAATGAGCAAATCCATTTATATCATCAGTCAGCTAATCAGTTTCTCCCTCATATTAAATGTCCTCACAGGATAGTATCACATCAATTTGCTACTAATGATTTTTGTAGACGTGAGGAAAGCATCATAAAAGGACTAGAAAACATTGTTCTGCCTGACATCTTTTGCTTGAATGTATCATTTTGGAAGGAAAGGAGGCCCTTTTTATTTAACAGCAATGTCACAATCACCTATATCTCTTGATAGCTCAAAGACAGCAGAAAATTATTTTTAAGATACTTTCTTACTAATGTTTTAAAAATAGCTAACAAGCTGAACTAGTGTTCTATGTACATTAGTTCCTTTAATTTCATCAGTTGGTCCTGAAGTTGATCATACCATTTATCTTTTCTTAAAGACATGAAAATTGAGGTTCAGAAAGCCTAAACTTACAGGCATTCACACATTTAGTAAGGGACAGTGACCGATCATCTCACAGCTCACGAACCCTAAATTATAACTACAGATAAGACACATCTAAAGATAGAATGCTTACGGATATCCCAGCTCCATGAAGTTGTTCCATATTTGCTTCAAAAACATGATGACTCCCATCTGCAGGCAGAGGTCTATCAGACAGCCACTAGGATGGCACTAAAATAGAACAGCAAGAGCCATAAGGATCCTGCTCCCACGCCCCACACCCCAAGGATCCTGCTTCTGCTCCTGAATCCCAAGCTGGTTCAAATATCTCCAACTTTAAATTGCAAAGTAAACTTTACATCTGGGTCACATTTTCTCATGTGAAAAAATGGAAACAGATACAATGACACTTTCAGTAATTACGGTGGAATTTGGGTTAGCTTTTAGTGAGTGCTTGCTAGCTCCCACTGTCAATCATAGTCCCATATAGGGAATGCTAACAAATGTTCTACATCCGCAAATGAGATATTAGAAAAGTAATTCTGATACAGCTTATGATTTTGTTTCAAGTATTTTTTTATTTCTAAATAATTTTAGATTTTCTGAAAAAAAATCATACATTTTAGTAAGTTCTCATATATTCCTCTCCATTCAACCCAAAGCTAAGAAACTAACAGTAGTGCATTGTAATTCAATAAACTGCAGTCATCACTGGCATTTCTCCCCTCTCCTCCAGGACTGTTTAACAAGGAAATTAGCATACTGCATTGCATGTCTTTCACGTCTCCCTGTTTTCTTCTCTTCTGGACAGCATTTTTGTAACCTCAAGAAGTTTTGAAGATTACTGGTCCATGCAGGTCTCCTTGCCTGGGTTTTTTTTTTTTTTTTTAATGTCGATTTTCTTCTCTGTGCTAAGTTTTTGCTGTTGTTTAGATTTTCAATAAGTTGGTATGAAACACACACACACACACACACACACACACACACACACACACACACACACACACAAAATGTGACTTAAGTGAATACTGCAACCAAACTGTGCTGCTTGAAACTGCACTATAAAAGCAATTCAGGTGTGGGTCTGGAACTTTAGAAATGGGATCATGTCCTGCTCGTAAGGATGAGTGTTCCTGTGACTTTGATCATAGTTTCTATTTTTGTCAAATTGGTACTAGTGGGACTTCAAAAGGAATGAATAATTAAGACATAAAAGAGCCTCCTTTATCTGTTCCAGCCCAGTAGTTCAGCAACCAGTTAGAGAATAGGTTTGCCCATGGCCATGCTCATGGCATAGCAGGGTCCAGATTCCAATCATCCTAGTACACCTCTTCCTTCTAGCATTAGCGTATGTCATCCTGACTTCTTCCTCACTTTATACCATTAATGTGTTCAGTGGAATGTGGAAGCTGAATCACTAAGATACAGGGGATCATCACAGTTCAACAAGATGGTTCTTCATTTTTGTAGAGAGACTTGGAGGAAAATTGACTTGCTCAGAGTCTGAGGAAAGAATACTCTGGTCTCCTTCCCATAATGCATCACGCTAAGTATAAATTCCATTTACCAAATATGTCAGTTGCCTTGGAGTGTAGGCTTGGCACACATGCAGTATTATAAAGGGACAGGAGAAAGAAAATAATGAGAGACATATGATTGAATCATTCCAGTAAAGGGCAAGTGAAAGTGAAAAGGCAAGTCAATAATGAATTGGTTAAAATTGAGTCTTGAAGAATTTGTAATTTACAAATTTCTTTATCTTTCTTACAGAGAACAAGAAGGAACATTGGTTTCTGTTAGTTTGTCCAATTCACATAGTGATGGCCTTGAGCTAAAGCTAATCATTAAATACTGTAAACTTCACTTGTTAAAACATCTCATACTTAGAATGTATAAATAGTCATGGATGAATGTGCAAAAGACCAAGGCATTAATGAGCAAACCAAAGTTCAGTGTTTTCACATATTCTCTCCTTCTCGGTGAGAATGTGTGTAGGGAAGGTGAGAGGGAGGCTGAGTGTCTTCAGTCATTATACCTTCGTTGAGGAAGCGAGGGACTGGCCAGGACTGGCAGGCTCCACAATCCTTACCTTTACCTACTCTACAATTTTTACTCCAAAGCCAACTCACAGTTGTTGGTCTTCTCAGCCAAATGCATTTCCATGGCTATGCTCACATATCCCATTCCAATGGTGGCTGGCAAACAGTGTGCAAAGCAAGACTTTGAAGCTATGCTGATTTTACATGCATCATAGTTTCATCAGTTTTGTGACTTTTGGCAAATTATAAAACTTCTCTATTCTTTTGTTCACCCATCTATGAAATTAATATAATAATAATATTTTTATGAGGATTTAATGAAATTTTACAGAAAGAGCACTTATAACAGTTATTGCAATATGCCAGCATTTAGTGTTTGTTAATGTCAGCAATTTAGAACAATTTAATAATGAATTTACATGATATTTTTGTGAGATCACGTAACTATAGTGAGAATCCAAATCCAATATAACCACTTCATAAAAGTTCTGATAAATTATATTTTTTAAATCTCTTTATACTGGTTCCTATCAATTGGGCCTGTTATTTGAAATGCATAATTTAATTTCACAAATGAGAATACTGTGCTACCTCTTCCTGTTCTTCCTGTTACCAGTTTAAAAAGGAAGGAGCTGAGATTCCCAGATAAGATATTCCTCTAGGTGGGAAATTCTAGTACACAGACTACTAGAACCTAAGGACAAAACATTTGTTCATTTGTGATTATATCCTATACTTCGTGATTATTAACACTATCAAATAAGTCAATGAGACTGTCCTTTGAAGACCCTCCATCAGAGGCTTGCCATAGAGCTTGTGCTCATACTGGCTTATGTGAAGGAATACGGACTCGATACTTCTCCTTGATTTTCATGCTCTCTCTATAATTGGAGATTTCTAAAGTGTATCATAAATTACAATGCTAACTTTATGTTTTCCTTTGTGGGTAAATATAGCCACCACATATCTCATCTATAATGGAAAATGTGGAGAACGATTATGAGACATTTTTCTGATACCAGTATTATAATTATTTTTTCTGGAGTTTTCAAACAGTAATTAGGATTTCCCACAATTTCATCATTAAGAACAAGAATATACATTTGAATATTAATGGTAGTAATAACTCCTAAAAGGGTGTCAATATGCATCTATGTGGCTATAACCACTCTGTTCCCACCTTTGGCTTCCTAACTAATCCAGTCAAGCCCTTTTGATAGAAGTAAGCCTTAAGTTACTAAGTGGATGACCAGGGTAACTAGGCTTTTGTTGGATGTGGGTATAATTCCTGGCCATAAATAACAACAAAAATAAATTAACAGACGTATGGATAAATAGAACAAAATAAAACTGAAAATAAAATTGAGACTTCCAGGCAATCCCAGGCTTATGAAAGGTCTTAGTGTTTTCCCACACCCTCAACGTCTTCCTTTGTAAAAGCCTATGTAGATGTGGGACTCATTATGCACTCAGTGTTTGCCTCCAACTTGTCACCTTGCTTTTTCAGTTTCTCAAGTGTTGGGATTACAGGAATGTACCATGGCACTCAGCCTTTGTCTGCCTTTGCCCACAGAATACTACAACTGTAGCTACGAAGCCATAACAGTGATAAGTATCAGCAAATTTGTGAAGATCTTCCCATAGTCTACGGTTGTGCTTATTGTGTTTTGTAAATTAACTACTATCTATAAATAACTTGCCAACATAATTATTACTACTGCTGGTTTAGCATGGCGAACCAGTCAATGAATGATGAATTAAGCACAAAGAACAAATTACAAGGGTAAGTAACATTTGAGCCCAGCTTTTTATTGTAAAGCATGTATTCTTAGGAAGTTTTAGGCTTTATTCATGTACAGAGACAATTTCTGGAACAATCTGGAAAGAACATAAATGAGGCCTCCCTGTGATTTTAAGGACCATTTTTTGTAGAGAATAGAATTATATCTCCTTTCATTTTTCTTTTGCAATCTTTTCTTCACTCCTTCTACATTATAACCTCATATCAAAGACATAATCTATCATTGGATTTTTATAATGGAATCATGAAAATCATTTTGATTAAGAGAAGGAACAACATTTTGATCAGGAGAACAGAGATAAGACACAGACAAAATTACAAACATAGGCTTCAACAAATCTAGAGTCTCCTTTTGCTATTAAATATGCAGCTTCTATTTGGTAGAAAATACTTGATTATTCTTTACACAAAAGTAAGTTTTTAATTAGTAAAATATCACATAATAGAAAATAATAGTAATAAAAATGAATTATTTTATGGTCCTAGAATTGAGAAGAAATTTTATAGTATAATATCAATAAATCCAATAAGAACAGTGTCATTTAAGCTAGGCATAATGGTGCATTCATATGATCTCATCACTTGGGAGGTCAAGGAGTTCAAGATCTTAATCAGGTACATAACTAGTTCAAAGCCTTTGTGGGCTACATGAGACTTTTTTTTTTCAAATTGAACTAACAAAAAGTAAGGAAATAACATGTACAAAACAAAAAAATCTGCCATTTTCATTAGATAAATGCTAAATATTTTTCTAAAATGAGATATTAAGAAGAAACTAAAAGAGAAACAAATTGAGAAAATCTGAAACAAATTTGAAATATGAGATTCAACTTGTATTAGTTTATGAATTAATAAGCAGGGAAAGAATATCATGAAAATGAACACAAAGAGCACACATAAAAGGTAATATAACATAACCATAGACAGAAAATAGTATTTCTTGATTCATTTGCCACTGAAGGAACCAAAATCACAGGGAAATATCCTTTCACTAGTTATATCATTTACAAATGCTTGTGTTGGTCAAAGTCTGATAAAGAGACTATATACACTCTAGGAAGTGCTGACTTTTTGAAGGACTTTTTCTCACTTCAATGAAGACTCATGAGATGCAGTGAACCTACCCCCTTTGTCTTGTTTCTCTGGGTCATATGAATTGTAAATCAATAAAGAAATATGAGCTTCCAGCACATGTGATGTGCAATATGTTTATAGATGACTATTTCATACTTTTTAGACTGAATTTTCATTTCATCAAGGGAAACATATTTACATATTTACATTTGGAAACTCATTCAATAGATGATAATACTTTTCCAAGATGAGTAAACTTATGGGGTTATATTCGTGAACTTTATAATAGAAAACAAACAAGCAAGAGCAAGCAATTATGATTTAAAAAGCAATAAGGGAAGAGGCCAGAATATTGGTGTTAAATTGTAAAAGATTAATCCTTTTTAAAATAAATGTAGCTGCTTCCATTTTGAACACAGAAATCTCTTCTCTTCCAAATTTTGCCTCTAACACTCTTGGAAATCTTCCCTCCTCAGCCCATTACCTCCCACAGTCACTGGCCTGTATCCATACCCATCCACACACCCACTCTCATGGGTTTACTTACTTCCTCCAGTCTCCATCGCTCAAAAAGTTTATTGTATTTTCCTGGATGGCCTACGAATCTGTAAAAAGTGTGTGAATTCATTAGCAATTAAGTGAAGTTCACCCGCTGATGCATCACACAGAGTGCTTGTGTGGGCAGACATAATTGTTCACTGGTGCGATTTGTCCCATACAGTTGATATTTGCTATGCTTAAACAACATCAAAGTAACTGACTTTAAAAGGAGAAAGCGATGCATAAACTCAGTACCAATAAGTAGATAGAGTGCAGATATATCAATCTGATGACATTTAATACTTGGTTCCATGTAGAGTTTTAATATTGTGTGGGCCAGGTTAATGAATATCATCATCATGTACTGAATGGTTTTGTTCAAAATGTTTCTAGCTTCTGAATGTTCCCATGGAACCATGTGTATGGAGGGTTAATCAAATAGCAAACTGGGCTTCTTAATTTTTTGTGTTTGTTTCTCAAATTTTAGAGCAAAGGAGGAAAAATAATTAAAATCCTGGTTTACACACCAAGAAATTATAACTCAGGGATAAAATAAAATAATTTCCTTCTAAACAAAATAATAGTTAATGATAATTAGATGATGACTTACAAGTGATGTTTTCTCTCTGTCTCTGTTTTTGTCTCTCATGCACACACACACACACACACACACACACACACACACACGCATGCATGCACCTGTGAAATTTAAGAGGTAGTAGCTTTCAGAGGTTACTAAGTAAGAACATATGTAAAATCTATTACACAACATTCTAAGGCAGAGTTTAAGAATTCTCTACTTCGGTTTCCTAATTGGCAATGGAGATGTTTGTGTTTTGCTTTCTCCTTGGCAATGGCAGGATGTGTAAAGTTAACTTACCTTCCCAAAAAAAATGCAATATAGAAGATAGAACTGTTCAAATTGACAAATTGGAAAAGGAACATTTTCAAGGCAAAGCTGTTTTCCCATTCTGATTCTGTTCGAGGATATTCTATAAGAAACACAGATTATTGATTTACATGCGATGAACGAAAAAAAAAATCAGTGTTATACCTTTAAAAGGTTTTCAGTCTTGTAGTGAAAAAGCAAAAGAGAGCATATATAGGCTACAAAATAGAAATAGATGCAAAAGATTTGTACATTATTTGTAAAAACAAAATAATCACAAGCCATTAGGAGAAGAGTCAGGTGTGGAAAAATCCCTTTGGATCAATAAAAGCTCCATATAGGTCGGATTTGGAATGACTAAGAAGTTGAGGTTGCTAAGATTTATTTGGGGAAATCATTCTGAGAAGTCGGGTGGTTTCAAAATGTGCTATTCTGTTTTCTATATATTCTGACCAAGATTACAGTATTTCTGGCATGAAGGTTTCTCAGGCAAGATCTTTATACCAATCCTCAGGGATTATTTCTTCTAGTATCTATACATATGACCTGAAAGAGTTGCCTCTAATGTTGACTTTGAACTTGAGCAATGTACCTCAATCTTACCAACAAAAGACTAGGAAGTTGAGATATAGAAGCATGATAAGAGCTTCTACATGTGTGTAGTTCCTCTTACAAGCTAGATGTCATGTAATAATTGCTATTGTCCTATTCCAGAAAAACTCAAGACAGACATCCAAGAAAGGACATGGAGAAAGGTGAAGGCCATGAAAGAGATCAGCCATCCCAAAAGCCCACATGAGGTTCAGCACGTGAGTGAAGAGGCCATTGCAGATATCTTTATACTAGCAGATAACTTCATGGAGCAGGAAAAACTGCCTAACAAGTTAACCTGGTTACAAAATCCCAATAAACCAAAGAAATTATTGTCCTCTGTTACGAAGTTCAGAATAACTTGCTATGTATCAATAAGTATAACAAGAAGAGTTTAGTTTAATATGACAATTTTTAATATTAACCTAGGTCCTCTACTACAAGTAATAACACAATGATTTTATAACATCCTTTCATGGAACAAATTCTGGCTCCTTTTGAATGAGCATTTAACTTGAAGGGGAAATGAGTTCTAAACCTTGACAATCTAAATATTGTTTCCTGGGTAATGCATTTATGGCCAAACTATTTCTTAGCTTTCCCTCAATGCATCCAGTCACTGATAATAAACTAGCTATTGGTGATAATCTAGCTATTTGACATCACCACCAGTCACAAAGTAGGTCATTGAGAATGTTAATTTCTATATTTTAAAATTTTGTTCTGTGTGTATTACGTGGTTTCTGAATTTTAAGATGGTAGTGATATGATTCAGTTTGACTTCTGATGAAACCTATACTTTCATGCTTTGGCTGACTTTGTTGCTTCGAATCCGGATTTGTGTAATCAAGGTCACTCATTACTATAGGTAATTGGTTATTTTTTAAACAGCTAACAATCATCTTGGTGCAATTCTCAGTAACCATAAACCTGAAGTGAAATAAATCTCACTTTGGATCTATGAAACTTTGTTCAGTGTGAACTGAAACTTTGATTAAACAGGTTTTGTTGTTGTTATTGTTGTTGCTTCTGAAAATAAAATATTTGGAAAAGTCCAAGAAACAAAACCAAAAAATATTCTTTTAGAATCCTGTCCCTTTGGTGAATGGCATCTAATTTCTAATCTGAACTATATATTAACTTAGATAAAGAATATAAGAAATAAGTACACATAAACATATAGTCAGATTGTATTACATAAATATCAGTATTATCCATTATTATTATTATTATTATTATCATTATTATTAATTTTTTGGTTTTTAAAGACAGGGTTTCACTGTGTAGTTTTGGTGCCTGTCCTGGATCTTGCTCTGTAGACCAGGTTGGCCTTGAACTAACAGAGATCTGCCTGCCTCTGCCTCCCGAGAGCTGGGATTAAAGGTGTGCTCCACCACCGCCTGGCTAACCCATCATTAGTAATTAAGAACTATGGATCCATAGACTCTATGCCATCACTGGGCTTTCATATATGAAAAATCAAATACTAAGGTAAAACTTTGACATTACTGCTACTTAGAACAAATAGCTATTCTTTTTCCTATTAATTATAGCCACCACCACCCCTCTTCTTGTAAGTTCCTATGTTCTGGAGATAGATATCTTAAAAGAAATCAACATAGGTTTCAGAGACAGAAGAGAGCTTTGGAACAATTTGTAAGAAAGTTTTTGATAATTCAGTTCAAGTATTTTATTATCCAACCCTAAAAGAACAACAAAACAGATGATTCTCACTTAATGTACACTTTGTGGTGTGTTGGGCAGTTGATCCACAATGATGAAATGGGAACTATTACTCAAATTTTTCATGTACAAATACTACACTAAAAATAACAATAACAAGAAAAGAGCCAAGTCCAGCACATGCCCTTAATCCCAGGCCCAGGAGGCAGGGCCAGGTGGATATTTACGAATTCGAGGCCAAACTGATTTACACAGTGAGTTTCAGGCAGAAAGTGCTACATACTGAGACCCTGTCTCAAAACAAAACAAAACAAACAAACAAAAATACTTTATAGTGATTCCCTCCTCATTGTAGGCATTAGCAGGACAGAATCTTGGAATATAGCTTTTGTTCATGTTGATGGGAGTAGTGGGGGAGAACAAATCTCTTACTATATAACTGTTTAAGAAATGAACCTTGGGCTAGAGAGGTTGTTCAGCCATTAAAGGCTATGCTCACGACCAAAGTGTCAAGAAATGAATTTTCTCCACATTCTTTTCTTTGTTTTTCTTTTTCTTTCTGTCTTTACTTTAAGTATTTGCAGTATTCATATTCAGATGGATCTTTTATGAATGCCCCAAAACAAAGTATTCAAATAGGTATTAATACAGAAGCATGAAAACTAATGAGACTGGGTCAAAGGAGAAGCCAGCATATGGGAGAAGTCTGTTTCTTAGAAACTTAAAATGAATTGGAATCAAATAACTAACTAGATTAGCAGAGGCCAAAACCAAAGTCTGAGCATGGAGCTAGTGGTTGAAGAATGGCAACCTCCTAAAATAATGCCGAGACATGTTTATCAGATCACAGAAAGAATCATAGAAGAATCACAAGTACTATAGCAAAATAGAATCAATAAAGATATGACGTGGAGGAGCCTAGGAGAGATACTGTATACACTTGCATATTCTGAAAGCCATAGCTGTTTTTCTGAGTCAGTAGTCGACAATGTGGGGCAAACAGGTAAACATGTCTCTGAAGGGAAATTGTCAAATCTGAGACATTATCTAAAATTCTAACAGTTGGAGCTTTTCAAGCAAAAGATGGAACTGGAATCTTTTTCATTGTAAATGGCTGGTAACCAGTAGACAATCCACACACCAGGTGTCCTATGAGCTTTATTTTTGTTTTATTGTGTTGTGTTTACTGCCAAATCAGACACCTGAGTTCAATTCCTGGAACCTGCATTGTGGGAGCAAAAAATTGACTCCAAAAGTAGTTTTCTCTGTCTCTGTCTCTGTCTCTGTCTCTGTCTCTGTCTCTGTCTCTGTCTCTGTCTCTGTCTCTGTCTCTGTCTCTGTCTCTCTCTCTCTCTCTCTCTCTCTCACACACACACACACACACACACACACAAAATAAAAACAAATGTAATCCAAAACTTTAAGTGAATGAGAGTCGTTATTTACCCAGCACTTCAGAAAAGTCTTTTACAAGAAAGACAAGAAAGACATCAAAACATAGAAATGAAAGGAACAAACAGATAGAAAGGAAATTTAATATTCTCCAATGGGAAGTAGACATTCTAGAGGCTAACCACTACCTTTTTTCTTAAGGGCTTGTGGATCAAAACTCGTATGTATCACAGTAATACTAAATGACATTCTTAGAAAATACTACACTTTCCAAGTGATGGTGGCTCATGCCTTTAATCCCTGAACTCAGGAAGCAGAGGCAGGCAGATCTTTAACTTCCAGGCCAGCTTAGGATCCAGAGCAAGTTCTAGAACAGCCAGGGCCACACAGAGAAACAATGTCTTGACTGCCCCACCCCTGCCCCCACTAACTCAATAAATGAATAAATGAATGAAGGAAGGAAAGAAGAAAGGAAGGAAGAAAGAAAAAAATCCTTATTTTAGGCAATGAATTTGAGGTTTCAAGAAGCAAGGCTATTTATTGGTCACTACTTTGTAACTAACTAGAATAAGTTGTAGAACACAGATTTTAACTCATGTGTTCCAACTTCAGAGCCTATGGAGAATTGAATTGGAAGGAGAGAATTGAATCAGTTTCTTCAAGTTTTCCACTGACCTCCACACAGAGGCCAAAGCATGTTTGTGACTCACCCCTCCACACATACACATGGAGGTGGGCAAAGAACTGAGAAATCTGGGGGAAAAGTTTCCCAAGTAATGATAAATAAGTTTCCTGTCTTCTTGATGGATAGTTTCAGATGACACACTTTGCCTCCTTGTGTTGTCTAAGGTAGATTAATCTCCAGCCCCATTTCTCTCTGGTTATTTGCAAATTCTTGCATAACTGAAGACATAAAAATGGTAAAATATACAAAATGACTAAAGACTAATATACAGTCATTTGCTTACTACAAGGAAAATAAGGAAAAGGAACTTACCTAAGTTAGTGAGGAGGTATGCAATCTTTTCATAAGCCTGCGAAGGAGTGTACAGATAAATATTATTCTATATTATACAGTGCTAGAATTGACATTCTTCAAAGAAGTTCCCAAAGTGTATCTACAAGGAGGATATATTTTTAGAGAAGTAGAAGTATTTATTAACACAATATGTAGTGTTCTATACATGTATATACACACACAAAATAGCTGACCTGTGAATGTGTTTAGAAATACATGTGTATGTATACATGTAGATACCTTATGATCTGTAAAACAACTCTTTGTTGCTGTCTTTATGTTCATTGAATAGCTACTCCCTAAACCTAAGACAAAAATTAACAAAATTCATTCAGTTAGTTAATGGCTGAGATGTGATTCATAACTGTCTGCTGTGGTGATATATGGTGTCCCCCAATATACTGTGTGTCCTAATAAAAGTTATCTGGGGTCAGAAAACAGAACAGCCACTAGATTATACATAGAGGCCAGGCAGTGGTGGCACACACCCTTAATCTTAGCATTCCAGAGGCAGAAATCCATCCGGATCTCTGTGAGTTCAAGGCCACAATGGAAACAGTGCCAGGCATGGTGGCACACATCTTTAATCTTAGCACTTGTGATCTCATGTCTTTGTTTATGAAAGACACATGCCTTTAATCCCAGGAAGTGATAGCAGGAAGCTAAAAGGTATATAAGACATGAGAACCAGGAACTAGAGGCTTTTAAACTTTTAAGCTTTTAGCAGCAGTTCAGCTGAGATACATTCGGGTGAGGACTCAGAAGCTTTCAGTCTGAGGATTTGTGGAAACAGGATTGAATGAGGAGTTGTTGAGGTGAGGTTGGCTGTGGCTTGTTCTGCTTCTCTGATCTTTCAGAATTCACCCCAATACCTGGCTCCCAAGTTTTTTCTATTAACAAGACCATTTAAGATTCATGTTATAGTCAGCCACTTGAGCCTTAGGGGATCTGATGCCCTCTGCCGGCCTCATCAGGTACCCATACACATGTGCCATACACACATCCAGACACCAGTATATACACATAATGTAAAGTAGAACACAACAAAGCAATAGTCATACCTAAAGTATTAAACATTCAAGGAATGTATCTGAATACTTAAAAAATTGTCTATATTCTCTGACTGCCCTTTCAATAAAACTATCACTATTTCATCTTAGCCATGATCCAAATCTACCTCTTTTTAAGATCAAGACTATCTTGAAACCAATTATATTAAGTAAATACTCTTCTATCTCTAGTGCAGCATTTTGTTTGGACTTATTTTGATTTTTATTTTACTTCTACTCTTGAGCTACCATTTTCAAATTTTAAACAAGATTACTTTGATTTTGTAAGGACATGCTATTCTTAATGCACCATGCCCTTTTCCATGCCCCACAATGCACCATGTCCTTTTCTATGCCCCACAATAGCCACACCCTTTTCCATGGCCCCATTATACAGTCAGATGACAGTAACAGGTCCTCCCAGGATTTTAACAGAATGAGCCTTATCAGCTTACAAACAGCATGTGACCAGCCAGTGTCTGTCAGCACTGAGCAGAATGTCCTCCTGCAGCTTGAAGACCAATGCTGTTTAAATAGTTGCCATTTATAGTATTTCACTTGTGCCATCATCTTCCATGTGGTAATTATATAACAGTTTTGTCAAGTAAGTATAACAACCCCATTTGACAGAACAGGGGATTGCGACTGAGAATACCTGGCAAGTGGCCCTGATAGAATAAAATACTAAGTTAAACAACTGTCTCACTTATCCAGACGGCCTGGTCCGGTTCCATGGGGGCTCCTCAGCTATTGGTTCACAGTTCAGGTGTTTCCACTAATTTGGCTAGTTGTCTCTGTACTTTTTCCAATCATGGTCTCAATATTTCTTGCTCATAGGATCCCTCCTTTCTCTCTTGTCCATTGGCCCCCACGCAGTGAGACCAGGACCTGTCCTTAGTGCAGGAGCCAGCCTTATGGAACCTAGTGCCTATGCTGAGACACTTTGCTCAGCCTTGGTGCAGTGAGGAGGGAATTGGACTTGCCCCATCTGAAGGTACCAGGCTCTGCTGGTTCCCCAGGGGAGACCTTGCCTTGGAGGAGGTGGGAATGGGGTGGGGTGAGTTGTGGGGGGAGGGTGGGGGAGGGTGGGAGGAGGGAGGACAGGGGAATCCATGGTTGATATGTAAAATGAATAGAAAAATCTCTTAATAAAAAAATAAAATACTAAGAAGTACAGTAAGAATATTCTTTTATGAGCACCTCTTACCTCCTAGGCATTGTCTTAGTACTTGGCACATATAATCCATCTATAAGTCTATGATGAAATGTCTCTAGGGATGACAATAACACTTGGAACATAGTTATAAATGGCTGTTAGAAACTTATCCAGGGTAATTCACAACCTGAAGAGTCTAGACCCAAATGACACAGCTAATTGATACCACCCACATGCTATACTCCACAGTCAGTCCACAAAACGAGTTGTTGAATCCAACAATAAAGGCAGGAAGAACCCATGACTTAAACATATTCAGATGTATGGCATATGGCAGCAACTGTGTAGAGAAAGCAGGTTGTGCGTGAATTTGACTATGTGAAGTGAAATGGCTGTATAACTGAGGGAGTTAAAAATGAGCAGGATCACAGACAACCCTTCTGGCTCTAACCCCTACACAGTACACTACAGAGGATACCACATTGGTATGCTTCTAAAATTGCCCACTGTTACATACAGTAAGCAGAATTTCTCTTGCTCATATACAGTTACTTTATTAAATATTCATCAATAATTTCTAATATGTTAGATAGTGTTTGGAAAAATCAAACAATTGATAACTGTGCAGACATAGTCTATATTTTTATGGAACTTAATTGCCAGCGGGAAGGCAAAAATGACCAAAACGTATGTTAAGAGGTAAAGCCAGGTGGTGATGGTACATGCCTTTAATCCCAGTGCTGGGGAGACAAAGGAAAGCAGATGTCTGTGAGTTCAAGACTAGTTTGGTCTACAGAGTGAGTTCCAGGACAGGCAGGGCTACACAGACAAACCCTGTCTTGAAAAACAAAAACAAATAGGTTTAAAAAAAAAACCTCCTACTTTACAGTAAGAAAGCCTCTTGAAGGACAGAGCACTTCCTTAAGAAGCAAAGAGGAGTGTCAAGAAAAAAATGTGGACAGAGTAAATACCTTGGGAAAAATGGACAAGAATGCAAAGGTCCTTAGATTGATAGTCTCATCACAATGGCACAGACTTAGGACAGCAGTGGCAGAAATAGCAGAGCAAATTAGTAATTGATGAGCCAGAGTAATCCTGGAGGGAAACAGGTTTCTAGGACATTTTTGGCCATGACAATCATTTTAGAATTCATTCTGAGCTTAGACAGAATCAGCTTTCCACTAATGCTTTGTTGGTATATTACATAACAATAAACTGGGAAGAAAAGAGCAGCAAATGCAGGAAAGGCATGTCAGGGAGTTCTGCACCCATTTCAGTGTGTACTGTCTCTGCATCAGTAACAGGGCTGTCCAACGTCCACTGTGAAAATGAATTCTAGACAGAATTGCAGGGTCTAAGAGACTGATCTTCTAGTATCTGTACCTTCTAGATTCCTAGAAACCATGAGCATGGACATAAACAAATCAAATAAGCACACTGCTCTTTTTAAAAGTCAGGCCTTTTACTAAATACATTTGGCATGAATTACTTTCCTAGTTAAGAGGTGGGGCCCAAATCATTGACCTATCCTATTCTATAATAACCTATTTGACATAATTGGTGATGAGATACCTAACCATTTAGGAAGACAATGTATATTTGAAGTTTTCTGTTGCGGTGACTGGATCCTTGAAAGAAACAGGAATGTGTGCTCTGCTCTCTACAGATGGAAGTTCAAGATGGAGAGGACTACAGACCTAATGTAGATGATTTACATTAGCTAGCACATTAGAGCCCCCTATCCCCATATTATATACTCTGTATACTAAGCACATTTTATGATCACAGAAGTACTCAAAGGAGGTCATTCTTTGACTGACTTTGTGGTAAAGGTTTGGGTGATTTACTCCTGGAAACTGCTCAGATCTCTCTCACTCTCTCTCTCTCTCTCTCTCTCTCTCTCTCTCTCTCTCTCTCTCTCTCTCTCTCTCTCTCTCTCTCTCTCTCTCTCTCTCCCTCTCTCTCTCTCTCCCTCCCTTTCCTTCCTTCTTTCCTTTTTCTCTTTCTTTTCTTTTGTGTTTTTGTTAAGAATTATTCCTTAATTAGAATGGCAAGTAGCTGTTATTTTACTATAATATGACAAAACCAGTTAAGGTTTAACTGTCAAGTAGCAGGAGTATGTTTTTGGACAATTTCACATTGTTGTTTTCATCACAGTACTTTTGGGAACGTTTCCACGTGTAATAGGAGCTATGGTATGGACAACAACATAAATAGAGTAGCAAAGTCAGAAAAGGGGCGGATCTAGGAAGCAAACATTTCTTCAAATTCTGTCCTTCCAGATTTTACGATATATGTTTGGCAAGTAGATTTAAAACAAGAAATTGAAGTTTTAACTATGTTTGAATTATTTGTGATTTATTTTTTTGAAGATACAGTTTCAATCTTGGCTGTGTATCAGTATTATTTTGGATCTCACAAATTAGTGATTTTAGGGGCTGACTGGATCAGAATCAACAAAGAATTTTAGAATGTTTTGTTTTTAATACAGTTTTTCTAACCACACAAAGGAGTTTCTATAAGCAATTTGATACACAATTTGAATGGGACACACTTTTAAAATTACTTTCATGATTAGTATAATAGAATTGTGTTTAAATTTTGATTATAGTAGAACATATTTTTCTCCTCAGTTTAATATTTATTTAGAGATGTCATGATATACTTCTTTCGAAATGTGCATGTGTTGGGGAAGTACAGCCTTTGGTTTAGTTTAAATTAAAATATATGCTGCAAACTTGGAAGACACTAAGAATATAATTCTAGTAACAAAAATTAACTTGGTCACATAATATGCAGGCCATTAGAACATTTGGAAAGTAAAATCCCTACAATGTGCTCAAAGGATATATTTTAAATGCTATGCCAGTATTAAAAAAAGACCTGAGGATCTAGATTAAAATATACCAACAAACAGCAACAAGAATAGGAAGCTATGGCCCTAGCTAAAGGAACTCAACATTTTAACAGTGAGGGAAAAGTATTAAGACAAGCAACAGAACAATGTTCACAAAGATATTGTTTACTTCCTCTAGTGATGCCATGGCTGGGAACAACAGGCAGTTCTAGAACCTTGTGACAAGAATAAAACAAAGAGATAATTCTATTCTACATATGGGACCCAGAAAAAGCTTTATGGAGGAAGTGATCCTTAACTATTATTTTCAGTGATGAAGAGATATTCTCCAAGGATACCAAGGGAAAACAGGACATTCCAGACAGAGACAGCTCTGTGAATCAAGAAACAGGGGGTGTGAATTAGCAAAGCGCAGGAGGAGGCAAAGTGGTTTTTCATGCTAGAAGATAGACAAGAGAGGGAGGGAGGGAGACTGGAAGGGAGGGAGGGTGGTGAGAGGGACAGAAGGAGGAGTGGATGTAGACGAAAGGAAAAACAGGCTTAAATAAAGCAGCCTCTCCTTCACTGAGCTAACAAGTCTATAATTTACATTGGAAGGAGGAAAAACCATTAAACAATCTCAGGCAAAAAAGAAAACCTTCAAATATGTAATTTACACATATCCTTTCAACTTCTATGTGGCCAGTGAGAGGAGAAGGTCTGAGAAAAATCACAGGAAGACTGAATTCTTAGGTGCCTATTACTAAACTAAAAAAGCAGATAGGAGAATTCTGAGCAGAGCCTTGATAATAGAGATTCAGAAACAAAATTCACAACAAGTGATCAGGAATAGGATAAAAAAGAAAAAAAAATGCACCAGAACATCATATGGTTTGTGGACTACCTTATATTTCCTAAAGAGCCTAGAAGACTCCTGATTTAAAGACAAATGCTTAATGATTTAAAGTATTTTTCCATGCCTACATTTCATAAATTAATGCATTCAGATTAGAGTTGAAAAGCACATTAGACTAACAGAATACCTTTACTTAGGCTCAGTCCTTTATAAGCACATTTTAAAGCTGCATATTGAATTTGACCTGAAAATAATAAGAGGTAGTTTTTAGATAGTCAGATGAACATTTTCATGATATAATATTTGTCATTTTATTGTGTCCTTATTTGCATTTAAGCTCTTAAATTAATCCTGCATATTCAGGTGAATTGGAAAGAGTGTCTAATAATTTGTGAAGTGCCTTAACAGTCTGGATAGGAAGCAAATACATAAATTTCTGAAGAGCATTATTAACTTATACTGACTGACTCAGAAGAATGTAACAGTGTTCACATTAGTTGAGCTGGCTCTATACTTCCTTTGCTTATGCTAAACTCATTTACAATTCTTCTGAATGGTCTAGTTGTAAGGAAGAAAAAGAATTTATAATCTAATAATCTCTGAATTTTAATGTAAAAATGCCCAACAAACAAAGATACATGAAAGTAGAAAGCTGGTTGAGCCTGAGTTCTCCTAGCTCTGGGTATTTGATTTTCAGGATCAAAAAAGACTTTGGCTCCAGAGTCACTGAGTAGAGGTAGTGCAACTATGAGGCTGTTAGATGACAGACTTGATGGCTATATTAGGACTGTCTTAGCTACCTTCTAAGTTCTTCACAGGTAGACATTCACTTTATTGACTTTACAGTCTTTTCTTTTTGTAAATAAAAACTATGTTAGCCTCCAACCCAAACAAACACTTAGTGAGAAAAAATTGTCTCTGAACCATTTTTCTTTAAAATATTTTTTACAGTTTTTTATTTGTGTGTGTGTGGGGGGGTGTGTGTCTTTCATATGTTTGTATTTGGGGGTGTGGGCTTGTCCATGCCATGGTTTGCACATGGAGGTCTGTGCCTGTGTTCAGCTTCCACTTTGAGATATGGTCTTTTGGTGTTGGTTGCAGTGGATGGCCTGCTGACTGACCCAGGAACTCCCTGGGAGTTTTCTGTCTCTGTCTAATATCTCCCTGTAGGAGAACTGCACTTACAGATACACACTAGCATGCCCAGCTTTATACAGATTCTGGAGATTCAAATTCCAGTACATGTTTGTATGGCAACAGCTTTACCCATCTGCCCAATCCCTGGGGAAGAGCAAAAACTGCAGGCCCAAGAGTCCTGTGTGATTCTAGCCAATGGTGGCAACTCAAGATAGAGATGGGTAGCAGAATAAAGCCCAGTTTAGGAGATTAGTGATAACAATTAGAACAGTGAAACTAGAATCTGGTGCATCTGTGGGAACTCAGCCAAAGTTTGGTTTAGTAAGATTAAGAAATAAAAGAACCTTTTGTAAGAAACTTAGCTGAGGATAAATGTGGCTTAGAATGGGATGTTTATATAGGTGTATACATATTCTAGAAAAATAGAATCAACGTTTTATATCATTTCTAGGTAACAGATACTGTCTTTAATTTGTCATGTCTTATATGTTCAGATAAAGTTGCTTTTTATTGACAACAGTTCTTAAAAGCTAGCCCAGGCATCATAAGGCTATTTCATAAAGAGAAGTTCAATTATGAGTCAACACATACATGTGATTTTTGAAACAAAGATGTTCATTTTAGACATCATGACCCAGTAACCTGACAGATCATGTAGAGCCAAAGAAGATAAACCCCTACATCCTGCAAGGATTGAGCTCCATGGGTGCAAAGGGGCTGAAGAGAAGGCAAACATGCAGTTATTTGGGAAGAAACACTGATCAGTCAGAATGGGCTCTTAGATGGCCAAGCTACAGCATCCTGGAAGCTCTGCATGTTTATTATATACAGTTGAACAGGGAGGCGGGTTTAGCTGATGCCGGCAGGAGATCCTCTGTAGGAGAGCAGTCTTCAGGCTCTAAGCAGCTTTGAGGAGAAAGCTTTGGTGGTCATTTTTGCACACACTATGGACATTTGCATTTGGACCAGAAGAGAAAGCTTTTCCATTTCCCTGAGGATAGCAACAAGGAGACTTTGCTATTTCTGATGGGTCAAAAGCACTGGAGTCCTTGACTCAGCCATGCTCATGTTAACAACACATATTCACTAGGACTTAACTTGCCTCCTACCATAACCCACACTTTAAAAATTGTGATAGTGTCTCTCTGTCTCTCTGTCTCTGTCTCTCTGTCTCTCTCTGTCTCTCTCTCTGTCTCTCTCTCTCTCTCTCTCTCTCTCTCTCTCACACACACACACACACACAGAGAGAGAGAGAGAGAATGAATTAGCTCTAGAGAAAATGAAAGGGTGATACTGGGGCTTCACTCTGAGGTAGATTTTCCTGTATCTTTCCAACAAATTCTTTTACTAGAGGGCTGAATTTGTTTGATTTTTCTAATACAAACAATACCTCATTCGTTCAAAAAGTGCATAGCCCTTTCTCTAGCATATACCAAATAGTAAAACTGAGACCACAAATAGCCAGGGCCACAATGGCACTGGCCAAGGAAGACAATACAATTGGCATTGGTTTTGATTTTTTAAAAAATCCATTGCAGGCTTGGCATGGTGCCACATGCCTTTAATTCCAGCACTCAGGAGGCATAGGCAGGTGGAGATCTGTGAGTTTAGTTCAGCCTGATCTACAGAGCGAGTCAAGCCAGCCAGCACTATGTAATGAGACCCTATCTCAAAAAAAAAAATTGGTGAATAAACCAAAGTGTATCAAATACTTCTTGCTAAAATGAGCTGTTTGTAACAGAAATATATATATATGTAAGTGCACACACACACACACACACACACACACACACGCATGCATGCATTTCAACACTGAGGAAATGTAGACTTTTCTCACAGTCTTTTGAAAATGATGCCATAAACGCTTACAAGATTCAGCAGCATGATGATTACAAAATTGATACAGACAGCAGCAGCAGATGTAGCGAACTGCCAGTGCTGCTTGATGAAATTCCACTTGAATGATGCAAACTGTTCCATGACAACCAGGCGGTACACGACAACTGCAAACACGGCTGTGATGACCAAGGAGATCTGCAGAGTAAGAGCGCAGAGAGGACACTTGGTCTTTTGTGTCACTAAAAGTGACAAGCCAGCCACACATTAGTACTTCAAAAGTTGAAAGTATTTGTCTTTCTGGGAAAAAATAATAAATTATGTTGTCTCCTTTAAGGAAGGAAGTTAAACTAGACTTAGAAAGCAATGCAAGATTTAAGCTTAAACCTACAAATGCTATGAGGTGATACACTTTTAGTTAGCCAGATTGAAGCATTACATTTGCAAGTATACTTCAAAACATCATGCTTCATGTGCTAAGTACACACTTTATATATTCTATTAAATGCATAAATAGTAACTCGTTGCTACAGTATGCACCCAGCATCTGTAAAGTCCTCATTCAATCCCCAGCACTCAAAGACTATATGTAATAAAATAAATAAATTAGGGAATAAACAAAATCAAAACAGAATCAAGAAGTATTCAAGCTATTTTAGTATGGAAAATAGTTATCATACTAAAGTGCAAAATTCTGTCCCAAGCTCCTCTTTCAAATGGAGTGCTTAGTTTTAAGGAGACATTTTGATTGTAGAGACTAACTCTCAGAATTTCTACTTTATGTTAGCTGTTCTTCCAAACAGTATTTATTCAAATAGATGCTGAGATGCTCTGAGAAAATGTCACAAACTGGCTGTAGTTTCCAATTATAGGTGGTGTGTGTGCGTGCGTGCGTGCGTGCGTGCGTGCGTGCGTGCGTGCGTGCGTGTGTGTGTGTGTGTGTGTGTTACAGAAAAGAGTCATTTTCTTTTGCATTCTTAGGAGTACAAAAATGAGTTGGTATGCCAGACTGTCCTTCTAAACCTGGAATCCCACAACATTCTCATACCAATGACTATATTTTACCATGAAGAAGATTCCTGAGACAGACACAAGAAGACGTGTGACTTTGTCAGATGAAGGCTGGTGAGGCTCAGGTTTCCCTGTGATGGGGTTTATCACCTCCATTCTGTAATATTTTGCTTCAAACTGGGGGCGAAGTGTTTCCTATGAGAGAAACTAAGGTTACTTAAATAGCAAGTCCACAAATTAAAGAAAAAAAATTTCCAAGAATTAACACAAACTCTTAAACTTAGCCTGCTTTTGTGTCATTTGCTGAAAGACACAACCTTTTAAAGAACAATGTTACTTAAATTTCAAATAAAACCATGGGTGTATTTTTAATTAACACAATTTTCTATGCATCCACTCTAAGAAAACATTATAGAAATGGTTTTAGCAATATATGCTTCATCGTTGATCCCTGTTACCTTCATGAAGTGAGGAATCTTGTCAATGTGTTTTAAAGATATGAATCTGTCCCTGATCTGTGCATTGAGGAGCTCTAAGCTTTATGATTTCCCAGATTCCTTAACGCCTGCCTTCCTGATAGCTTACCTCCTCTTCTTCCCATTCAATAAGGTCCCAAGCATAGGTCAATATACTTCTTCTTCTTTTCCAAAACTCAAGAAAGACTGTGGCTATAAATATAACAACAACAATAATAATGATAATAATAATTATACAGTAATAATAATTCTCCATCACTAGCACACCACATTGTTTTTCTTCAGATTGGTATATTTTATCGTATAATTAAATTCTTTATAGTGATTAAGTTGTTATTAAATAAATATTGGAATTTGAATTTCTATCACCTTACTTTCTGGTTTTTATATAATGCTGTCTATATTCATGACTAAGGACAGGCAAATTTTAACACTGAAACTGGTGATGTTTTTGTTGGCATGGTATATTGAAGTGATGCTGGGAGAGAAAGTCAAGATTAGAGAGCGAAATGCTGTTGTCTTTTTTATGCTTATTCAAAATTACCTCAAAACTTTAAATTTTCAACTACTAATGATAATCAAAACCTGATACTATTCTTCCAATACCCAAGAGAAGTGGTGGAAACAAAGAGATAAAGTACAAGCCCATCTTAATGTAAAGATGAGAAAAAGAGATCAGAGATGATTCTCTGATGCATACTTGGTTATGTACAAGCTGGAAGAGACTCAATGGAAAAAGTAAAGAAATGCCTCAATTATTATGTGAAGTTTCTGCATAAAAAAGGAATTGCTCAACATCCCTAATCATCAGG